TGTTCCTGCCTTTAATGAAACCCTTCTGGACGTCGAGGCAAGTTTGCTCACGCATAAGGCCCATCGGTGAGTTGATCGCCGCGGAAACGATCTTATTGCAAGTGTTGCTGAGGGTAATTGGCCGAGTGCTCTCAGCAGCCCGAGAGATGCCAGTGCCCAGAGCGTCCGAAGCCTGTTCGCCTTTCGCCAAAAACACAGCCACCCCGTGATTGAAACCGCCCCCAGGAAGCTCGCCCCGCAGAACCGAAGAGTAAACCTCGAAGATCAGATCTGTGACCATCGGGCCGCCGCGGGCCCAGCAATAATCAGGGATCCCATCGGGCCCAGAGGCGCCGCCATGCAAGTTACCGACGATGTTGTGGATCTCGGGGGGCTATAGAGTCCAATGGGTGCCTGGCGGACACTGCTGAACATGCGGCCTGAGAAGTTCACGCACGTGGCTAGCTCCGGGAAGCCCTTTGTGAACTTGCCCCCCAGTGCTGTGCTACTGCGCGCCCTGCATCGTCAGGGTCGCGCAAGTGCTGCCCCGTAGGATACACGACGCCAATCAGAGAAACTCCTTTCTTTTTTCTGAAACTTGCCCCAAGCCGAGGTGTCGGATTCCAGCCGAGCTCCCAGGGTGGCCTTCTTCTGGAGGCCCATGGAGGTCGCCTCAAGTTCGGCCTGGCGTTCCTGGATCCTCTGGAGAGAGAGAGAGAGAGAGAGAGAGAGAGAGAGAGAGAGAGAGAGAGAGAGAGAGACCTCGCATATGCCCATGAAATTGACGCCCGCTGATCCAGGCGACGCCAGAGCTCTGCGCGCATTGGCCAAGCTGCGGGTAGCAGCGGACAGCGCGAGCAACCAGCTCAGCGCGTCCCTGAACGACAGCGCGCATTAACCTGAGCGGCCGTGTGATCCGCTCGTCGGTGCTTTGAGCTGGCCGAAGCGCAAGTCTATCTCGGACTTGCTTGGCGGCCCCTCGAAAAAGATCTCGGGATTCCTGCGGGGCAATCTGGAGGTCCTGATGAAAAAAGCCGTGGTCCCCCGAGAGCTTCTCCATCTCCTCCTTAAACCACGGATGCCTCGAGGCCCAAGACGGAACTTTGCCGCGCCCAGGAGGCCCAGGAGGGGTAAGCGCGAGGCAAACGGGGACGCGGTCACTCGGATTGCCTTTCTTGTTGGGGACACCCAAGACGAGGCTGTTTGGGCAGAGGCCCAGGGCTTGGGCAGGGTAGAGGTTGGTGTAGATCCCATCGATTCGACGCAGACTAGCTCCCTGCTGAGGAGCGTGCGCAGCATGCGTAAACTCAGGCTGGTCCACCTCACGCAGATCAGGAAACTTGCGGGCGAACTCGCTGGCAAGGGCGTTCTGCGGCACCACGGTGCGACCGTCGCTGCGTGCCCGACTCTCGCCCAGACTGGGGAAGTTCCAATCACCCTAGATGACAGATAAATCTCGGCCTTGCGGAAGGATGACGTTTCGTAAGCACAGTAAAACCTCAGACTGCTGACGACGACGGAGTTTGGGATTGAGGTTCACGCTGATGACTTGCAGGACCCCCTGCGGCCCTGAGAGAAAAAGACTGTGGAGGCGCCCCCGAATGTGTGCATGATGAGAGTGAGAGGAGAACATCTGGAATAGGGAGGGCTGGATAGCAATCATACAGCCGCCAGCTCCTTCACGCCGATGAAAGGTGCCGAAAAATTCGAACCTTGAATATCGTGCTGAAGCAGTCTCATGCCCTCGCGATTTCGATGGGTCTCCTGGAGCCCGATAACTGAATGATCCTGAACCAGTTTAATGCAAAGCTAGTGTTTAGATCTGGCAACTTCGATCGGCGTGCTGGTGGAACCGAAAAGACCTCGTGAGTTCCAAGAGACTGCTGAAAACCCCCGTCGAATCTGAAACGAAACTGAACTAGCTGCGCAGCTGCTGGACGACACAGACGAGCGAGAAGTGCAAGAGGAAGAAGAAGCGCCACCTGCACTATCAGAATTATCCCGCCCCCGTGCTTGGACTGCCGGCCCCGCCTGTGCACAAAACATCTGCGATCCCGTCGAAGAACGAGTAGCTCTGCGAGCCCTTCTCGCAGGTGCACTCGATGGCGTGCAAGCGGCAGGTGCGACAGTCGAGAGAGCACCGACCTGGGCCCCCAGGTCTGAAGTCGAACAAGGAGGGGAAGAAGATGAGCCCGCACCGCTGGCCACGGCACTGGGCGAAGCGGAGAAGCCATAAGGGCCTGGCCTGTTGCTCTGAAAGTCAGTGTCAGTACCGTCAGCAGGGAACTGTAAGAGCGGCGTGTGAATTTCCTAGCTCATGGCGATGCGGATCCAAGAGTTGGCCAACTCCTGAGAGATATCGAAAGTCTTGGGGCTGTCCATTTCGGGGTGAATGTCCATGTGCTAGTTCGTGCTCTCGGCCAAAGTGAAAAGCGCCCAAACGTCTTCCCCCCGCGCCATGAACGGCGCACCTTTCTGCGGGTGACTGCCGATCTTCGTGCAGCTGAGGTCGAGCAAGTCAGTGCGCTTCATGTGGTCCATAGGCTGCTGCCAGAGCTGGCCGAGGTAGCGGTTCTTCTTGCGAGCGTCGAGCGAAGCGTCCATCCGTGCTCGAAGGGGGCGTCGGCGCTGCCGACGATCGGTCCAATATGAACCTTCAGCGCGAACCCGATCAAGAAACGTCCGAGCGTGCAAGTTGGAGCCGAACTTGATCGAGTAGCTGCGGTTCAGGTTGTACGCTTTGGCCTCTGCGTGCATGGCCATGTCCTGGGGCATCGCTTCGATGACTGCCTTCGCGCGCGTGCGCATGACTGTGGCTAACATCTTGTTGGGGAAGCCGCCGATCCACACCACGCAGGGGTCCGACTCGAAAACGCCCTTCGCGAGGGCGCCTGCGGCTGCAGAAGTGGCGGAGCCCACCGAGGATGGCGGCCTGGACGACTCCCCGCTGAAACTGGCAGACGATAGAGAGGCAGGCATGGCTTTCAGCTTCTGGCCCAGCTTCTCCTCAAGTCGCGCCTCCAGCTGCTGGAAGATCGCGGAGCCCTGGGCGTCGTCGCTGGCCTTGCGAGTCTCCCGCGCCTGCTGGTCCATCCTCTCATTCAGCTTGCAGATGGCTTCGTCGTGCTTCTTTAGCACGGTGTCGATCTCGGTCTTGGTGGCGATGGTTTCCTTCTTCCTATCTGCCTCCATGGATTTCATGAAGTTCGTCCGGTCGGAGAGGGACGGCTGTGGCACCTCCTCCTTCGGTGGTTCCTCAGGTGCAGCAGCAGCGGGCGGACCAGCTGGTGCCGCAGGAGCAGCGCCGTCGACGTGACCACGCTCATCGGGGTTCTCCTCCTTGCAGTCCACGGCAGGGGTGTCCTTGGCATCGTCGCGCGCCAGGTCGAAGTGAGCGGGCACGACAGGTTCCCGCTCCTGCGGCGGCACGGTCGGCGACCCAGGGAAGAGCGCACCTATCGACTGTTCTACACCATCTGGGCCAATGTCAGCTCGCTTCGCGTGCTCGTCCTCAGCCTCCGGCGCGCCGAAGACGGAAGCGAGCTTCTTGTGCAGCGCGAGGTCCGCGCACTCGGCCATGGACTCGTCCTTGTCGGAGTCGGAGTCGGAGTCGTGGACGACCTGCGTCTTCGCAGCACACCAAACGAAAAATACAGAACGTGTCCGCCAGCGCACGACACGCTGGATCGCTCGCAAGAGAGCTGCCCGCTCGCATGGGACCTGTTCCCACTTGAGCCAAAATGGCTTGAGCCAAAATGGCTACGGAAGGAGGAGGAGGAGGAGGAGGAGGAGGAGGAGGAGGAGGAGGAGGGGGAGGAGGGAAGGAAGGAAGGCAGGAAGGAGGAACGCGGGGCACCGTCTCTTCAGAACGAGGACCAACACCACAGGATGGTTGGGAAAAATGAATTGTAAAATTAACGACATGCGTTAGCGCAGGGACGCCCGGGGCACCAGGGACACCCGGGACACCGCCCGGCCCAACTGGGACACCTCCCAGCCACCGGCGGACGGGAAACGGACTTTCGCTTTTACTGACACCCGGGACGCCCGGGACACCGCCCGGCCCAACTGGGACACCTCCCAGCCACCGGCGGACGGGAACGGACTTTCGCTCCTACTTCGGCCTAGCTACAGGAGGATCACGCGCAGCTTCGCCTCGCCCGCACGCACGACACGAACACGAAAACGAAACCGATTTCCCGGTGGGGGGTCTCCGTTTCACTGCGATATCACCCCCTAACCTCCGATGAGATCGATCGTGAGATCGCTTATGAGATCGATCGTGTGATCGATACCAAGGGCGGTCGTGAGATCGATGGTAAGATCGATTGTGAAATTCGTGAGATCGATGGCGCCATACAAATCATCGCAGTTGTTGTCAATGAGCTTTCCTTTCCCCCCAAATTCCTTCTCACCCGAAGGGTGGTCGTATGGGTACGGAGATGTTTCCCGCCCGCGACGAATGTCCACGCGGTCGACCCTGTTTCTTCTGCTTCACTCGGGTGAGGGCCGCCGTCCAGGATACCAAGGCCTGGGCCAGCATGGGAAGGCTTGTATTCTGGCGGCGCCAGCAGTGCACTCGGCGGTCGCGGCCTATACGGGGGGACACCTCCTCGAAACGCTGCCAGCTGCCGCAACCATGACCTCTAATGACGATGCCCCCCCGTGTTCCTGGTACCCCGCCTCGCGACAAGAGCAACGACACTGAGTGCCGAATCCAAAGATCACTGCGGCGAGTGCCTCAGCAGCCCAAACAAACACACACTAGCGTATCGCACAGCAGGGCAAGCCCGGGTTCTGAGCAGGCGCGCCGCCACTTGGCGCAAGGAGCGCGGAGCCGAGACTGCTCGCCGTCCCAAGGCAGCGCGCGCAAGAGAGAGAGAGAGAGGGTGAAAAAGAAATGGACCTGCAATCCGCCAGCCGGGCCCCCGAAGGCGGGTCGGCTACCGGACTGGACACACCGGAGTTTTTACATGCGCGCCCCCGAGGGGGGCAGAAGGGGGCGCGGGTGCGAGCCGCGTTCACTTGATGGTCAGGGGCTTGTTGTACCTCGGAGCAGACCAAGCTGATGCAACGGCAGCTCAACAAAATCGACTCCAAGACCCTCCCTGGGTGCAACTGCACTCGTTTGTCCGAGATGCGTCCAGCCGTGGCGACGAAGGGGCCTCCCGAAGGCCAAATAACTGTCGCTGACTCGACTCTCCCTTCTCTGAGTGCCTCGACTGGCGCGCGAAGCTGCTGGTCGGGTTCGGGTGCACGTGCTCCAGGCAGTACCGGGCGTCCCCAGGCGCGTCCTTGAGGGCGCAAATAGGATGGGACTGGCTCAGGGCGGGGGGAACATCGACCTGGAATCGGCGATACAGCGCCGGTAGATCGGCGATAGGCCCCCGATAGTGAATCCGTAAGTTCCTTGGCTGGGTGGGCTATCAGGCCCCCGACGGCGGCGGTCGGTGAGCGGTTGGGCGCCGACGCATCCCCCCCTTAGCCCATCTCCCCCCAACGTTGCCCCTGAGTCCTGGTCGAAGGGCTCGTCGTCCTTCAGGTGCGTGCGGCCCGCCCTGCTGCTGCAACGGACGAGCCTCCAGGACCTGAGCTCCTGCTCGGGCACGCGCAACTTGTCCCTGCACCTGCTCTTGAGCGAGCCGGCCTTCGAAGAAAAATTCAAGCACTGCGTAAGCATAAACTTTCAGATGTCCGCGCGGATTTCTTGGATCGGCGTCTGAGACGCCAGGGGAGCCCGGCGCCGATCCAAGGAATCCGCGCGGAGCTCTGAAAGTGCATGCTTATGCAATAGTATTGGTTCGACGCCTTCTCCCCGGCCGCAACTGGGATCAGGATAGGCTGCGCAAAAGCCTAGGAGGACGGCGACTGTACACCAACACGGACCTTGGCCAGGCCTATCCTGGGACAAGATTCGGTGTATACGAATCCCTGGGCCTGGCCAGGAAGGCGGAGACACTACTCCTGGGTCCAGGATTGGCCTGGCATAGATCGGTGCTGGTGTATAGTTGATGTCTTCGAGAAGCCTGCTGGCTCTGGCGGTCGCAGTGGAAGACCTCGATCACGCGGTGCCCCTGCGCCTCCGCCGCCGTGGCGTCGCCCTCCGCCTCCACGCGCAGGCAGTGGTAGAGTATGTTGGCTTTGTTGAAGCATGCAAGCGACTCGCTCGCGTGCTCGCGCGAGCGCACCGGCATCTCGGGCCTCCAGAGCTTGTGCAGGCGGCCGTCGGCGACCTCCAGGGCCCGCAGGGGCGGCGCGATGCCCCACTCTGGGCGGAGATGCTGGGCCGCCTCGAGGAGGGGCAACCAGGTACGGATACTGCTACTCCGCGGACCTCTCCCGGGTGCGTTCTGACCAGGATCTCGGAGAGAATCCAGCCGTGGTGACGAGGACTCTCCAGGACGAGCAGCGGTATCGGTATCTTTTCCTCCTCTGAGCCTCCGCGAGCACCTCCTTCATGGTGCTCGTCTCCGAGACCGTCACCACCGTGCAGCCCACCTCCCGAACACTGTCGTCGAAGAAGCGGATGCACAGCGGGCACCGGTCCGCCGCCTGCTGGCTGACTGCTGGGGGCAGCTCGACAGCGTGCAGGCTGAGGCTCAGCGACTTCTTGCCAGCGGGCGCCAAGGTGCGCTGCAGGTGGAGGTCCTTGAGCGTCGTTGGCGTCGTCTGCTCGTTCCGCGGGGGCTGGGCGCTGTTGAGCGGGTCCTCGCACGTAGACGCTGGGGCCGCGTGGAACAGCCACAGCTGCGGCGCCTCGCCAGGCGCGGCGCCGGGGGCAGCTTCGGGCGCCTTGAGGCCGAACTTACGCACGATGCTGCTCGTAACAATCTGCATGTTCCAGCGCAGGTCCATCTTAAGCTCCTGCTCGCGCGGCGGATCAAACGTCGCCGGGCTCAGCGCCAGAGCCGCATCCTCAGGGCGCTCATCCTTCTGCGCCGCGGCCTCCTTCTGCGCGCCAGACTGCGGACGGGGCAGGCCCCACACGCCGTTGGAGATGACGCCGTCGACGCAGAGGGGCTGGCGGAAGTCGTGCAGCGTGACCACAACGTCGACGGCGCTTTCGAGCATCTTAGCGTAGTCCTGGACGTTTGCCATCGAGTACACGGGGGGCTCGACCAACCCGTCTGGGGCGATGGTCGCGCCCTCTGGGTCGGCCTCGCCCTCCTTCCGCCCCGCCGAGGAAGGCTGCCAAATGATGACGTCTCCCGACCACAGCTGTTCCTGGTTGACTGCGCGCTTGACCAAGCGCCGCTGGAAATTCCGCTCGCTGAGCTCCTCCCAACACTCCCAGGAGAAGCTGTCGGGGTCATCTGGCAGCGGCGCCACATCCTTGCTGTTCAAGTACGGCTTGAGCCGCTCGCCAAGCCATCCCTCGGACACCATCACGAGCAAGGGATCCGCGGTGCTGATGTAGGTACACCCCAGCGTCACAAGCTTGTGGTTCACAGGGCAGAAATACTTAACGATCAGCAGCACGTGCTGCTCCTCATTAAGGGCGGGAAACAGTGTAACATGAATCATTCTATAGTGTTTCCTGGCAAAAGGAATCTTACTTGAAAATTGATGTCGGGAAGTTCATATTACATGAACTTTCCCGCCATCGGGGACGCCTGCCCCAGGGCGGCAAGTGGGAGGGACAGGTGCCAGGTGGGGCATGAGTGTGGGCATTAACTTTCCAATCGCCCTGGGACAAGCGTCCCGGATTAAGAAAAGGTGTATGTTATACCGTTCTTCGCCGGCTAAGCCTCGCGCCACGTCACCAACTGGTCTGGCTTGTCGCTCTCTTTGGCGGGCTTCCACCTGTGTGCGTCCATGGTGTAGCCCTTGGAGAAGCAGACGAGTACTGTCAGATAGGGGTCGCTCGGGTCAAAGTGCGGCGCGCTGAAGGTTGGGATGCTGTTCCTCAGGCTGGCTTTCGGCTCCATATGAGCGAAGCGCACCTGCCGCGGGGTGTTCCGGTGATGCAGCGAGAAGATCGCCATGTGGGCGCGGGGCACCTCCGTGATCGTCTCCACCTCTGCGGCCAGGTCCTTGACGAGCTGGTCCCGGCTCATCTTGAGCGTGTGCCCGTAGGCGACGTCTGTGTGCTCCCAGAACCCTGTCATCTTCGCGAGGTCCTTCTCGAAGACCAGCCTGATCTTGATCTTCGTCTGCTGCTCCAGCTTCTCCTTCCGCCTCTGGTCCGCGAGGCGGGCCTCGCGGTCGCAGCGCTCCACGAGCCTGGCGTTGACCTCGGAGGGATCGGGCACCTGCAGGATCTGCCCGGCCAAGTCCTCCTTGATGTAGACGAGCATGTACGCGTTCTGGATCCGCGGCCTCACCGGACACACGGCCTGGGGGGAACGATAGGTGAGGGACATGATCAGGGGGGGGGGCATTGACCCTGAATTGGCGATACGTCGCCAATAGGTCGGCGAAAGGCCCACGACAGCGAAACTGCTGCACGGTCCTGGGCGGGGTGGGCCTACGGGGTCCCTATCAGCGATCGATGGGCAATCAGAGGTCGATGCCCCCCCCCTGAGCCTATCCTCCACTGACGTTGCCCCTGAGCCTGGCGCAGTTCCGCGGGGCTGCGGTCAAAGTACATCCACGTGGACAGGTCCGAGCCCCCGTAATTGTCCTCCACCGCCGCGTACTCGCTGCAGGGGGTGACGGTGTCATCGTCGAATTTGAACCACCCCTTCTGGCCGGTCAGGTCTGGCTTGATGAACGCGTAGTAGTGCCCGCTGTTGACGTCGCCGCTGTGCACGACGACGGCGTGCAGGATGTAGGTCCCGGCCCCTGGCGCGAAGGACGACAGGTCGAGCTTCTTGTGGAACTCGAACTTCGTGTTGAGCTTCACCATGTCCATCTTCTCGAGGTCAAAGTGGAAGCGCTTGAGCTGCAAGTTCAGCACGGGCGGGAAGGTCAGAAAGCGAATGCCCTTCTTTGCACGCTGCTTGCCGTGCCCCTCCGCCTCGTAGGCGTTGTCGCCCTCGAGGACCTCCTCGGCGGTGAACTCGCGAAGGGATTCCTCGATGCTGCGCAGCTCGATCCCCCGCTCGGACTTGATGTTCAGCTGGATGTCGTAGAACGTCTCGTTCCGTCTGGACTTGTAGTCTACGTCTATGCACTCGATGTAGTTCTCCATCTCGCCCTCGAACAGCCTCTTGATGGAGCCATCCATGGGCGTGCCCTTCATCTGCTCCTCCAGCCTGTCGCAGAGGATCCGGTTCAACTCCTGGGCATCGTGCTGCGTGAAAGCATCCATCGTGTCCCAACCGAAAGACTTCATCAACTCCCGGCAATTCACCGCCTGGTCGGAGGTGTGAAGCCGGTAGAACACGTTCTGCAAGGCCGAGATGAGCGAAGGCGACTTGCCGTCCCCGTCGGCCTCGCCGGCCGCGTCGTCCTTGCCCGAACCGTCGGGGGACTCGTCGCAATCGATACTGTAGACTATGCGCCTGAACTCCCCGAGGTGGAATAGGCTCTGCAGGAGGCCGTTCATGTAGCAGGTGGCGCCATGGTTCATGAGGCCGATGAACCCCGTTTCCCTCCTGAAGTTGTAGTCGCTGTTGATGCTAATGCCGTCCGCCATCTTCACTTGGCAGCAGGCCCGTACGCAGAGTTCGTTTTTGGAGTTCAGCCAGCCGTTTTCTTTTGTGAGGTCCACCGTCCTGACCATGTCGTGCCAGCCGCGGTCGATGCCTTCCCTCGAGAACGACCAGTTGTCGTGCTTAGTGACGCTCTTGCGGTAGTCCAGCCAGTTAACGATGGTGACCTGGTACTTCACGCTGTTGAAAACCCACCTCGGGTCCAGGTCCGGGAAAGGGTCCGCCTCGACGAAGGCGCTGACCTGCTGCCCGGCCGTAGTGTGCGTGCCGCTCGGGAACACGAGGATCCGGAAGCGGAAGTTGCCCACTGTCTTGGACATCGAGCGCGTGTTCTGGCCCACCTGTCAAGGCCCCCCGCATGGGGTCCGAGTAGATGGGGCCGGGGGATCGCGCTGCATCGGCAATCTATCGCCGATACATCGGCGATGCATCGGCGACGTCGGCGTGGAGAACATCGGGCTACGCATCGCGCCGCATCGTCGATGCATCGGCGATGCGGCGCGATCCTCCGACTCCATCTACTCGTACCCCATCGGGGAGGCCGAGAACCTGGTAGTTGAGGGCGTCGGGCACGATGAACTCTATCTCGTGCGCGTCGCAGGGCGGCAAGTTCTCCTTCGAGGACCAGACAATGGCACGAACAACACTTTCGGAGGTCCGCGCAGATTTCTCGGATCGGCACTGGACCCCCCTACCTGGCGCCAGAAGCGCGCCAGGTGCGACGCCAGAGGCGCCGCCAGGGGGCTCTAGCGCCGATCGGAGGAATCCGCCGAAAGCTCAGGACATTTATGTTTACGCTGAGGGCATTGGATAAGGAGCCCCAAGAGAAGGAGTCCAGGGTCTGAAAGCCGGTGAAACGCCAACTGATGCTTGGCCCTGGACACCACCTCCGCCCTCCTCAGCTCAGGAACTCTCCAGGGTCTGAAGTCTCCTTGGCACATGCCTCGCCCCCACCCCCACCGCATGCCACGTGTTGCTCCCCGATCTCCTTCACCCACGAGTCCTCGGAGGCCGCGCACGCCGCGCGCGCGCCGTCGCCTCTGCCTCGGCCATGGTCGCCGCCAGCCAGCCGGGCGTCGCTGCCGCCCTCGGGCCGCGCCTGCCTGCCACGCCACGGGAGGCCGTCCTCGGTGATGCGCCCCCGCTGCTGCGCGCCGAAGGGCGCCGGCTCGCCCTCCGAGGAATCCTCCTCTCGGCGGCGAGCCACGGGAGGAAGCTCGGAGGGCCCGGATGCCCTCAGGCCAGAACAAAATCATGACGGGCCTTGTGTCGCAAGCTTCGGGCTCCTGGGGCCCGTACCTGGCCCTGGGACCGTCCAACAACGACTCGGGATGAGAAACCGGCCCCGGGGAATGGGTCCAGACCTCTGGAGGTCGGCGTCATAAACAAAAAAACATGACGTCGCAAGTCTGACAAGGCGAGCCTTCTCAGAAAGCTCAGAAGGCCTCCGGCCTTCTGAACAGTTTTCTGAGCCTTCTCCGAAGACAGAGGCGCCTTCTCAGGAGACCAGAAGGCTTCTGCGGAGAAGCCCCGGGCGCGCCGCCGATCCTCTCTTGTGCGACCTTGTGGGCTGGGCTCTGGAGCCGCTGGCCGCACCTGCGGCACCTGTCCCTCGGTGAGGTGCTCGAAGCCTCCCGCCGCGACGTCGTAGGGGCCGGAATCGTTGTCGTACAATTCGTCGTTGCCCCTCTGGTCGGGGTTCATCTGGCGAGTAAAAGAAAAGAGGACCACCACCCACAAGGGGCGACCGAATATCCGCGGAAGCTCTGTCGAGCTCGGCACAGAATGTGAATGTGTCCCTTCTGGGGTATTGAGCCAAAGATGG